GGCTCCCACAGCTTCACACAGTGTATCCATAGAAAACCATTTTTAAAGCTTGGGCAAAACAAGAGGTTTGGGAAAGACAAGATTGAAAACCTTTCTGTAAATGCTCCCTGAATTCCCTTCTGGTCCCATTGACCAGGATCATATATGTCTTGGCTCTTAAGATTGGAAAAAGGCAGTAAGAGGCAAGCTCTGCTGGGTAGAAAAGTGGCGACTGCATGCAGCAAACAGCACTTGCCACAGAGGTTACTCAAGGAGAGACAATGCACTGCACTGGCCGCCATCTTTGACTCTCTTCCAGAAACAGTGCATAGAAATACACACAGTAGCTGCTCCAAAATACTGATTAAGTATATAAATTAAAATTCTGGGAAATCCTTATTGGAAGTAAAGAAATCCTTTACTTAAAATAATGTCTTCTTGAGTCTTAGTATGCAGGAGGTCATGGCAGAAGGATCAAGACCAACCTAGCCACCATAGCAAGTTCAAGGCTGACCTGTACCACATATCTGAAAGAAAGAAAGAAAGAAAGAAAGAAAGAAAAGAAATAAAAAAAAGAAAGAAAGAAAGAGAAAGAGAGAAAAGGAATAAATAAAAGACTTCTTCAAATAATGCTTTGGCAAGATTAGAAAATGATAAAACTTTGCTGAGGAACAATTTGGCAACATGACCTAAAAGCATAGGAAAAGGTACACATCTCTTTCCTTAAGTAATGATACTTGTAGTAATCTGTCATTTAAGAAATCAGAGACATAATCTAAGATATATATCAAGCACTATATGTAAGAGTAAAATATAGGAGCAGTCTAAACACCAGATAACAGTTGGATTAAATAAATTAAAATAATATGGGGTACAATACAAGTATAAAAATCATACCCAAAAAATCATTAATGACAGGAAAATGTTCCTAATTTAAATAAAAATAAGTTGTAAAATCATGTGCCCATAATACAAATTTAAAATACTGTTTTCTACAAATCAGAAGGTGTGTTTTTATGGGTAGGAAAAAAATTGTTTTTCAGTAAAAACCTCAAAATGTTAACAGAGAGTGTCTCTAAGCATAGGCAAATACATAGATTTTTAGTTCCTTTTCTTTTTCTTTGTTCAAATTTTATTCAGTAGACATGAATTATAGTTACAATAAAAATAAATATTAAAAAAATATTACTTATTTAATATCTCTTGTCACGGAGTTTGTGAACAAATTCTGGGGGCCTTTTGCCCTGCCTGCTTCTCTTCTTTTGGACAAAATTAAGTTTACATGAACTTGTATCCCTTTGCACATAGTAAACATTTGTTATCTGTCTGGATGAACAACCAAGGAATGTGAAAGAACAAATAAATACAGTCTACTCATTCTCCATAAAGGCAAAGCAATAGAGGAAAGAATTTCAGAAGCTTCCGTTAGCTGATTTAGTGCCACATGATGGGAGATATCAAATTACAGAGTCTAAAATTCATGTAGATCTGTGTTCAAATCACGCATTTATTATCAATCAAGTGATCATTGTTATGCCTCATGTCAAGATGTCACCCCAAAGCTTCATGCAGTCAGAGCTGGGGCTGGATTTAGAATGTATGATGCTGAGATTAAAGGTCTATGACTACTAACAATCCACTGATTGACATTCCTTCCATCCCAGTAGCCTACGTACAATACAAAAGAAGTAGAAAGATGCCATTAAGATCCCTCCCTTGATGCTTCTGCTATCTTCTAGCAGATATGAGCTGTTTTCGGTGAAACCACCAAGCCTTGGAACCAGTCGTTATGGGCTGAATCCTCTACAAATTGGAGCCAAACAAACCTTTTATTATTGAACTTTTAAGTGGAAGATATTTTGTCTCAGCAATGAGAAAAGTAACTAAGACACCGTGGGAAACTTAGGTGACCTTGTAATTTGTCTGTTATGACTCAGAATTGAGCCTGTATCTTTCAAATCTGGAGGGAGAGAGGGAGACCTCACAGGAGAGCTTTTTTTCTTTCAGGGCTGCATGGCACACAGAAAGTAATCAGTGCAGTACCTGTCAGCTGTCATTGTCGTCGTTGTTGTCTTCATTCAGCTGTGACTGCTCTGTCACCTCTCTCTGCACTACCATCACTAGCCTTGGTAAGGTTTCTAACCCTGAAACCCTAAAAGCTGGCAAGCGATCCACACTCCGGAGGTGGAACCAGCCTGACCTGCACCATACCTGTGAAACCATGAATTCACCAGCTGTTAAATGTCTGGTGATCAAGAGTAGGTCACATTTAGGAAACATTCTTCATGATATAAAGTACATACAATTATTTTTGCAAAAGTGCCATATATAAGATCAAATGAACTTCCTTTAGTTTATGAAGGAATTCTCAGTTATTTCTCAAGTTTTACAACCTCCCTAATTAACTAAGAAATCTGGAACAGATTTCCAGACCTTTAAGCTCTTTGGAAAACAAAGTAGCTCTACAAAAGTTAAGATTTTTAAAAAATGAAATAAGTGATGCCAACTGCCAGTTGCTTAAACGTGGGCCAAAATTCCTTAAAATAAGCTAGTCGAATATCCTCAAAGTACTTCTCACATTTATCCTTTAAACCTTCACAATACATTAATATAGAAGTTACTTTTATCTGCAGATGCAAGGGGCTAAGAGAGTAAAGTTAACTCAGTGGTTAGCAAAAATGATCATTAATAAAATTAATTTCTGCCATTGCACTGCCTTGGTCCTACTTAACATAAGCCTCTGTTGTTTCATCTGTAAAGTGGAGAGACTAGGGGCACATCACAGAACAGCATTCAAATCAGGGTACTTACCATTATCTTTCTCATGAGCTGACTCTACATTCAATGAATTCTCATTTTATATAACAATTCTATGACGTGGCACTATTTTACCATTTTAAGAGGGGAACATTGAAGTTTGGAGCAGCTTAGTAGTTTGCACAAGGGGTGACATTTATTACGTTATTAGGTTTTTACTGCCAGGCTTCTATTAACCCCATCCCATGCTCTCTCACTTACACCTGCTTTTCTGGAGCTGGACCATATTGGTGACAGCCAGGTCTCCTGTGCTCCAGTGGTTACTGGACCACTGGGAAGGAGGGAGTGCATAAAGTTGCCTGTCTGGAACTTGTCACCAGATAAATAATTCAATTTTTGCATCAAACTTTACCCACTCCTAATTAGTGCTTATTTAAGAATTGAAACTGGGTTCCTAAGTTTTGTGACATAGTGAATGATAGTATTTTCAGACTCAACTAGGAAGCCCTGCAGTGACTGATTTTATGTATCAACTTGGCTGGGCTTCAAAGATGCCCAGATATTTGGTCAGACATTGTTCTGGGCATGTTAGTCACATTACTGTCACTTTAACAATTACCAGCAATTATCAACTTATTTCTTCATTTTGCAGTACTACAGATTAAACCCAAGGACTTCACAAAAGCTATATATTTTCCAGCCCTTTTTCTTATTATTTTTTTAAATGGGCTCTTGCTAAGTTGCTTAGCCACTCAGGTTGAGCTCAAACATCGAGTCCTCTTGCCTCAGTCTCCCAGAGTGCTAGATAATAAACACGTGCCATACAACCAACTGATTACTGATTTATAAAGAGAAAAATTTTCTTTCAATTCGTTGTTTGCAGTCCATGGTTGGTTGGTCACATTGCTTGGAGACTAAGGCAGGAGAGCATGGCAGAGTAAAATCACTCACCTCTTGGCTGGAAAACTAAAAAGGAAGAATAGCTCAGGGGTCCATTATCCCCTTCAAAAGCACACCCCAGCTCCCCAGGCCCTGCCTCCTAAAGCTTTTACCACCCCCCAGTAATGCCATTCTGGGGAACCAGTCCTCTACCACATGGACCTTTGGGAGACACTTAGGATCCAAACTAGAGCGCTGCTGGCTTCCACAAGCCTGTTGTTTTATGAGAATAGCATGTCTGTTGATATAATAGCAGGTTACCCTCCAGGGTGGGTAGGCTTTGTCCAAATAGTCAAAGGCGGAACTAGAACAGAAAAACTGATCCCTGCCTAAGTAAGAAAAAATTCTCCAGCAGATCCCACTGGACCACATCTGCACCACTACCTGAGTTTCCAGCCCGCCATACTACACTGGCAGATTTGGAATCTCCAAGTTGAAAAGTTGTGCCAGTCAAATGCTTATAATGAGGAAAAAAAAGAGACAGAGAGGAAAGAAAAACATGCACTCGTGAGCTACATGACAATGTTTAAATCAGCAACAGGCCACATAACACACACACTCACTCGAGATTATAATGGTACAGACCTAGAGGTCCACGGGTTTGATCCTCAGTACGCCACAAAGCAGAAAAAGATTATCATGGAGCTGAAAAATGTCCATCCCCTAGTGACAGCATAGCTTGTGTCACACCTAGCACAACAGATCATTCACATAACGATGGAGACCCCGGTGTGGATAAACCTCCCCCACCACCAGCTGTAGAAAACACTAACGCTTGTAATTAGGTACTTCATCATTGACAATAATAACAGACGTTACTGTTGTATATATTTTCAATACTAGGCTAATTATTTGTAGAATATGTTTCTCCCATGGATAAAAATGAGTTTACTGGGGGCTGGGGATTTAGCTCAGCGGCGTAAGCGCCTGCCTTGCAAGCAGGCAGTCGTGAGTTCGATCCCTGGTACTGATAAAAACGAAAAAGACCAAAAAAAAAAAAAAAATAGTGAGTTTACTGTATAACACTACCAGTTTATGTAGAGACCTGGCCGCTGGCGGCAGCAACGGTGACCAGCAGGCCGGGGCAGCCAACGGCAGGGCGAGCGGCCTGGAGCAAGGCCTGGGGGTTGGGGCCCTCAGTGCGGTGGACACGGTTTTAAATTCTAATTGAAATTACCTTTCAGGGCCTTTCAGAGTCCCTTGCTGTGTCTCCAGAGTAAATTCTCTTACTCTCTATTTCATCGATATTGGGGTTGCAGGAAAAAGGGGGTACTGATCTGGGGTGAAAGCTAGGATCAATTTTAAATGTTTTTTAAAAAGCAGATATGGGTGAAAAGAAACCAGAACCTCTGGACTTCGTGAAGGATTTTCAGGAGTACCTGACGCAGCAGACCCATCACGTGAACATGATTTCTGGGTCAGTTAGTAAAGACAGAGCCACAGAGGCTTTTCAGGGAGCTGGGCCAGATGGAGATCGAAATGGGCTGGACCCTCTGTCTGTTGACGTTTCTCCGGATGAAAACTCAGGAACGTTAGTGGACGAGTTTGAAAGGACTCCTGATGGGAAACTCAAGTGCCGTTACTGCAACTACGCCAGCAGAGGAACAGCTCGGCTCATCGAGCACGTCAGAATCCACACGGGGGAGAAGCCTCATCGGTGCGACTTATGTCCGTTTGCATCCGCTTACGAGCGCCACCTGGAAGCCCATATTCGTTCCCACACTGGAGAAAAACCATACAAATGCGAATTATGTTCCTTCCGCTGCAGCGATCAGAGTAATTTGTGCCATCATCGTAGGCGCAAGCATAAAACGCTGTCGATGAAAGCCAGTAGGTCTTCCTTGAGCAGCAAGAAGATGTGGGGGGGTTCGCAGAAGAAAACGAGCAATCTGGGGTACTGCAGAAGAGCACTCCTCAATTTAAGCCCACCTTCCATGGTAGTTCAGAAACCGGACTACCTTCATGATGTGACCCGTGAAATCCCAAATATCCAGGCCTATGAAAGTATGGCGAAAACTGCACCCCCTACTGGCCTCCCAAGGGACCCCCCAAAAGTCATGTTCTCCACTCTAACAGGACAACTGTCCAGCTTGCCACCTGAAGACCAGAAACCTGAATCCCCTGATGTAGTTCCTGGACCTGATGAAAAGCATTTCATGATTGAGCGGCCCTCTGCGGTGTGTGCAAGTATTACTCAGAGCCCCTCTCCTACAAGCCCTGGGCCTGGGCCTCGGCCAGCACACAGTGAGAGGAAGTACAGCCCAGCAGCAGGTTGGAGCACCGAGCCAAGTGCCCACACCAGTACTCCCATACTAGGAAACAGCCAGCCAAGCACTCTAGCCCCAACCCTGCCAGTGCAGGACCATCAGCTTCTGCACCACTGCCCGCACTGTGACATATACTTTGTTGACAATATCCTTTACACGATTCATATAGGATGTCATGGCTATGAAAACCCTTTTCAGTGTAATATATGTGGATGCAAATGTAAAAACAAATATGATTTCGCCTGCCATTTTGCAAGAGGGCAACATAACCAACGCTGAAAACAATCAGATTCTGTGTTACTTGGTTTGGCTTTTGCGAGTTTTGTAGTTTGGTTTTTGTTTTCAATCCTCCCCCGTAAGATTATCTACTAAGTTAAATTTTAACGACATTATATTTACAAAATTTAAATTTGACAGCGGAAAAGGTTTTTTTTTCTTTTTTTTTCATAAAAATCTAACTGCAGTCTTTTATGTACAAGAATAGACACATTTATATGTATTTTTCCTTTCATTTAGATAAGTAAAAATAAGAATACTGTATTTGTTTAAATTTTCTGCATATGTGGTTCCTAAAGACTTTAAAGTTTATTCACATTCTTGATATTTCAATAGATACACTACTGCTAAATTCTGTTTCTGCTATATTTTAAAGTGGTAAGATAAATTATTTTCTCTTCCAAATCTGTTACAACTTATTTCAATGTTTGTAGAGAAATTGCTTTTAAATTGCTCATAACTGAAATACTAGCTTATGCAATTTAAGTTGAATCAGTAGCTTCATTTCAACTGATAATTATAGTCATTTCAAATGTAGTTCATATTGAATTTTTCTACAAAGGGAAATGTAAAACAATTCCTTTAAAATTAAAGTCATAAAAATAATAAAAGTTCCAAAAAGTAATGAAACTCAAGATTCTAAACTGAAATTGAGTTTAATATTTAAAATAACCTGTTTATTCAATGTCTAAACACCTGACAATTTTCCACTAAATTTCTTATACATCACTTATTTTTAAAAATCATAGGTGAAGACAGTAGAATTCTAGATCTTTTTTCTTTGCATTTTAAACTTTCCAATTAAATTCATTTTGATGTTATTAGTGTCAGGTGAGGTTGGTAACTAATGTTCTTCCTATTTGTGGGTGCCCAAAAAGGTACTATGGAAGTTGTCTATCTTCGTTTATTAAGATGCAGTCTCTCAAATTAAAAAAAAATCTACATTTTTCTTTTCTTGCCTTCTGCTCATTTATTGTCCTTAATTTCTAAAAGAACATGGGTATAGAAATACTGAGAAAATGTGACAGTAATACAATAATGTGTCTTGTAACACACCCTGATCTCCTCTTCAGAGTTGGTCATTTAAAATACTCTCTGTGAATACAAACTGTAATTATTTGTGGTTTTATCAGTTTCCCTGTACAATTACAATACTTACTATATGGCAACTGCAATGAAATCGTCATCACTTTCATAGAGGAAAATAAAAAGGTATGAAAATGTATATAAAATGACATTTATTTATCAAAGCAGAATTTCTAAATCTAGAGTGATTCATTTTGAATAGGAGGCTATTGGTTTTATATTATGTAATACTAGCTTATTCTGATGAGAGTTTGGTTAAACAATAAAATACTGTTACTATACCATGTTATGGCAGATGAAGCCTTGTACATCTCATGTTTACCTTGTTTATTGGTTACATCAAGATGCCATGGCAAGTGATTAATCTGTACCATCTACATTTGTGTGAGCACACTTTATGATATTTGCACAATTACAAAATCACCTAAATACACATTTCTCAGAATGTGTCCCCATCATCAAGCAACATGAGTAATACAAGCCCACTAAAGTCTTAGGGAAAGGCAACAGTAAGTTATGGTTGTCATCTTCCCAGGACCTGGACATAGAGACAAGGAACTCATGTTCCTTCATTTTTAGAAAAAAAAAATCACTTTTGTAAACCATTTTGAGAAGGTCTTATCCATCAAATATGCAACACAACCAGAAGCAGGGCTTTTTTTTTTTTTACCCATGTGCACCATTATTAATCCCTGGCAATGGTTTCATTGGTGATCCCCAAAAGTTTAAATCTACTCCCTAATAGCTACAACATGAGGGCATAAATGTATTTGAAAAAAAGAGTCTTTTTAGATATAATTAAGGATCTCAAGATGAGCTCATTTTGAATTATCTGTATGGCCCCTAAATCCCATAAGTATAGTGATAAGAGACACACAAGAGGGATTTGATGGGTAGGAAAGAAGGCAATATAAAGACAGAGACAGAAATCACAGTAATACTTCTGCAAGCCCAGAAACAGACACCAGAAACTGGAAACAGCAGGAAACAGAATCTTCCCTAGACTTTATAGAAGAACTGAGCTCCTATCAACAATGTTTGACTTCAGACTTCAGACTGGCCTGCAGCACTGTGAAAGCAGAAATTTCTCTCTGGCATTGAGAGAGCAGAAAATGATTTTAAGGTTATGGCAATCACCTGAAATAGTCTCATTTTCAGTTTTTGCAATGCAGCCTCAGAGAGCAAACTGATCTTTGAGAGGAACTTGCAGTGATCAAGGATAATTCCTTCTTAAAAGATAGGTTAATACAATCTTAAAATGGAAACAGGGAAAAGAGAGTCAGGAGCCGCCACAGGTGAGCTGAAGGCCTCCACAGTGAACTCTATCTAGATGTGCAGCTGCAGGACTTTGCTTGGAATCTGCTAGGGGCCCACCTGGCATCCCAAACAGTCCAGAACCTTTGCATCATCACTTACATCCTGGCTGGACCCCATCCAGCAACTCCCAGGTAGCCAGAAACCTCAGTGTGTGAGCTGAAGGCCTCCATATCAAAATCTATCTAGCTTGCAGCTGTAAGACTTTGCTCAGAACTTAGCAGGGCCCCGCCCAGCAACCCCCAGGTAGTCAAGAGCCACTGTGTGATGAATGACACAATCTGAAGACCTCCTCAGCAAACTCCACCTAACCATACAGCCTTAGTATGTTGCTCAGAACCTAGTAGGGCCCCACCCAAAGACCCCAAGAAGCTGGGAAGCTTTGGTATGCCCTGGGGCATGAGCTGAAGGCTTGTCCAGTGTACTCCACACACCATTCAGCCTTAGTATGTCACTCAGAACCTGGTAGGGCCCTGTCTAGTTACCTTAAGCAGCCAGGGAGCTTTGGTGAGCCACGTGGGATGTGCTGAATGTCCACCCAGTGTACTCTCCTCCATTTGGAGAGCCTTTGAGTGCCATTAGGGCCCCAGTAAGGACTGCCTAATGTCCACCCACTCAACTGGGGAAACTCCCTGTAGTACAGACAGCCATCCTCAATCCAAGAAATAACTGAGACCTTGCATTCAGCCCAGGGGAATAAAGGAAAACGACAAAATGAAAGAGCAAAATGCAATCAGAAATCTCCATCCAAAAGAAGCTTAGGAGACATGGACATAGAAAAAATATATGTCATACATCTGAAACTTCTGAAATGATAGCACCTGAAGTAAAGAAGCAACTGCATGAAGCTATACAGGAACTCAGAAGAGAAATAATCTCCCAGGTAAAACAAGAAATGGTAAACATAATGAAAGAAATGCGGAACACATCTAAAGAAGACATAGTTTAAAAAAATAGAGAAACACAGCAAAATGATTGAAACAAATGAACAATATAAGAAAGAACTAGACTGCATGAAACAAACCCAAAGAGATATCCAGGAAATCAAAAATTCCATCAAAAGCTGGAAAAATTGCCTCAACAAATGCAAAGATAGACTTTCAGACCTCAAAGACAAGACTGCAACTAGTGAACAGGAAAGGAAAGATCTTTTAAAAATAACGGAATCAAGAAGTTACAATTCAATAGTTGCAAGATGATGCAAAGAAATACAGCGGAAGATTAATAGTATATGGGGCTGGGGATTTAGCTCAGCAGCATAAGCGCCTGCCTTGCAAGTGTGTGGTTGTGAGTTTGATCCCTGGTACCGATAAAAAAAGATTAATAGGTATAAATGGAAAAGGTGACAACACAAATAATATCAAAAGACATGGACAGAAGTAATAGCTGAAAATTTTCCAAACATGGGAAAGGAAACTGATATACAGATAAATGAAGCATATTGAACTCTAATCAGCCATAACCAAAATAAATCTACACCCAGACATATGATACTCAACATCCCAGAAATTCAACATAAAAACAGAATATTAAAAGCTGTTAGAGGAAAGAAACACATCACCTATAAAGGAAAGCCCATCAGAATCACAGCAGACTTCTCAACACAAACAATGAAATCAAGAAGAGCCTGGAATAAAGTATTTCAAATCCTAAATTAAAATGACTTCCAACCCAGATTGATATACCCTGCAAAACTATCTTTCAAAACTGACGGAGAAATAAGATACTACCACAATAAAGAATAGCTGAAGAACTTTATGACCACCAAACCAACCCTGCAAAGAATATTGAAAGATATTCTAGGCATAAAAATAACTAAGACTTCAAGACTACCAACAAAGAGACTCCAGAGAAAAGGTAAAGAACCAACAGCGGAAAGATAACATGACAAAAATAAGCCAATATACATCACTTATAATAATTAATGTAAATAGCCTCCATTTACCAATTAAAAGAAACAGACCTGAAAAATGGATAAAGAAACAACAGCCAACCATATGCTGAATACAAGAAACTCATCTAGCCCAAAAGGAAATTCATAGACTGAAAGTCAAAGTTTGGAAAACAATACTTCACAAGAAGCCACAAAAAAGCAGAGGTAGCTATTCTATTTGCAGACAATGTGAACTTCAAACCAAGAATGATCCAAAGAGATAAAGAAGACCACTATATACTAGTTAGGGGAAAACTTCAAGAGGAAGAGATAATCTTAAATATATATGCACCAAATTTGGGAGCACCCAGCTATACAAAACAAATATTAACATAAATGAAAAATCAAATAAGCAATAACACAATTATAATGGCAGATCTTAGCACCACATTGACACAAAGAGACAGACCAACTAGACAGAAAATCAGCAAAGAAATAACCGAACTGAATCATACCTGTGAACAAATGGACTTGGTGAGCATGTATGTACAGAGTGTTAAACCCAACAACATCAGAATATACATTCTCCTCAACAGCACATGGAACATCCTCTAAAATCGACCACATTCAAGCCCACAGAACATGTTTAAGTAAATGCAAAAGAATTGAAATTACCCCATGCATATTATCTGATCATAATGCTATAAAAATGCAAACTGATGACAAAAGAAACTGTAAAAACTCCATAAACACATGGAAATTAAATAATACATTTCCGAACAATCAATGG